ATTTATTCTTTGTTTTCCTTCAGACGTTAGATGCCTTAAATACCTGACTTCTCTTTCTCCATATTGTAATTTATTTATTTATTTTTTAATACTCCCAAGCCCTGCTTTCCCAGAAAGTTGAATAGCTTGTTAGTAGCTTTCTTCACAACTCTTTTCTCCTGTCCTGACAATAGAAAACGATCCATATATTTGTTAACATTAATACCCCCTTGGGAGGTTTAATTGCTCCAAAATCTTTTTTTTTTAGAACTTAACCAAATAGATAGGTGGCCCAGTAAACCCTTGGGGTAAAATTGTCCACCTATATTGTTGCTTCCGCCCCCATTTCAGGGTCTTTCCAGTCAGAGGTGAATATACATGTATGTTTGCTCTCAGGGCCTGAGAGCACTCCATTAATAACACTGTTATTCCAGTCTAACAATTTACTATTTGAATGCCCAATTTAATCATCAAGTCCCTTTTCAACAAGTTAGTCCCTGCCTTGGGTACATACAATAATTACCCAGTGATCATTTTATCCTCTGGTCTCAGGTTGGTATCCCCCAAAAGTGGCACTGTTATCCCAGCCCCTTCTGCCCCCATCACTTTTTAGGGTTTCATTAGTTAATTTAATCCCTGATACTTTACAAGTCAGTAATGACCTAGCTGTTCCCCAGTGTATTGGTTTTGATGGCAAGGTTCGGGGGGTGTGAGAGGTGTGGGGGTGGGAAACTGCAGTGGCAGCCCCCGTGAGAAAAACCCAGAAGCCTCCCCGTGGCAGGTAAGGGACAATTTCATCTGGCCCCTAAGGGGCCCACTGCTGCCCAGAGCCAAGCCATGAGCAATACAGTCCGTGCCTCTGTGAGAGCACATCCACGAAAACAAACAAACAAAGAAACAAACAAAAACCTGCTGCTCAACAGCAGTTGGGAGAGCGAGAAACCCCCCCGCAGACACCAAAGTCAGTGCAGAAGGAGGGGGGAGGAGGCGCTCCAGGCGCTGGAGCCGAAGCCCCCCTGCGGCCGCTGGAGAGGCCCCTGGTGGAGCAGGCTGTTCCCCCCTCCCCGATGCTTGGGAAACTGACCAAACACCACAGCAAATATGCAAATATACCAAAACTTAGATAATGCCTACATCACCTTTCCCTGCTCATTCAATTTCAAACAGCTCTGTTAAATACTACATGCCACACCTTTAACACCTTCAGCAACCCTTTTAACACTTCCTTTATCTTTCTCCAGCCTGTACTTTTCTAATACCAGCACCAAAGGCTCAGTCAGGGTCCAACTTAATTCCATACCTTTTCCCTCCAAGATACTGAAACAACATATCAATATAGTAGATTTCATGCCATTTTCCTTCTTTCCTCCTTCTTCCACTCCAGATATTCCTATTCGAAGTGGCCAGCCTGGCCACACTTAAAACATCTTATCAAAGCCTGTCTCTGCTAGGACTCAGGCCACAACACAGGCAGCCTTCTTTGCCTGCCATTCCTTCATCTCTCTTCCTCTCCTTTCCATCCTGGCCCTGACTCCCCCTGAAGATTTTTTCCTCTTTCTCCAACCCTCTGCTTCACTACCCGCTGCACTGTCAATACCATTAGTTTCACTTTTTTTTTTTTTTTTTTTTTTTTTCCTTCTTATCTCCCCTCCAGACACACGCCTCCCGGGCCTCCCGCAGGAGGGTCCCCCAGTGACCATTCACTACATCCCCCCACCTTCTAAAGCATTTTCTGCGTATTTTGCCAGGCTTTAATCACACAATGAACTTTCAAGAGCCCTTGGGATACTGGGTCCTCAGGTCTCATCCCTGAGTACTTTCTCATTCTGACCCCAAGTGTCTCATATGATTTCTGTGTTGCACACTATTATTATTCCAGCCAGGATTGGCAAGTGGGTACTTCTGCCCTGCCGGTATTACCCCTGGTCCTGGAGGATGAGCTCTTTCCCATTCTTGTATAGCAGCTCTCCTCCTGATCATTCCCATTTCTTTCCCTGTAAACAACATACTTATAGACATAATTCCCTCCCCCAAGAGTATAAGTCAGGTCGTAGGAACTGGTCTAATTGTTCAACTAGGCTGTTGGGGTCCTTGAATAAAGACTTCCTCTCCTTCTTAAAAGTTCTAACCTCTCTGCTGGTAAGGAGGGGGGGGGGTAGTTCACCTAAGAGGATACACAGTTATTGTTAGTACTGTTAGTATCAGGGAAGGCAAAATTCTCAATATCTCTTCTACCTTGTTCTAATTCTTGCCAGAACCTAGAGTACGATCCTTCTTTAGGGACAGTGTTAATTACAGCCCCTGTCTCCCTTCCTGGAGTGACTGCTGCTGTCACCAGTTCAATATTAAGATTATAGGGAGCATGACTTGGCTCCTTCTCTAAAAAAAAGGAATCTTCTTGTTTACACATAAATTTAAAGCCTGAATTTTCATCAGACCCGTATTTTGGCCAAAATACTGCTGTTTCCTTAATTGGTTCTTTTGTCCAGACTGATACACAATATTTAACCTTTTTTAAAATTATTTTTCTTTTACAATCCCTCTAATTTTGGGATTATGTTTCCAATTTCTTATCATTCTTCAGGAAGAACTATTAGTAGGCACTCCCCCAGGGATATCTCCCTGTCCCCTGGAACTCATATTTTCCCATTTTTCCTAACCCTCGCCAGTATGTGCTACAGAAATTTCCCTTCTGCAGTGTACCACACACCAACGTACTGAAAAATGTGGGTGTACCGCCAAGCACTTCCCCGTGCAAGCGTTACCGCACACCTATGAGTTTACCAGATTCCCTGGAACTCGTACTTCCCATCTTTCCTAACCCTCGCCAGTATGTGCTACAGAAATTTCCCTTCTGCAGTGTACCACACACCAACGTACTGAAAGATGGGGGTGTACCGCCAAGCACTTCCCCGTGCCAGCGTTACCGCACACCTGAGTTTACCAGATTCCCTGGTGTACTTCCAAGCACTTCCCCGTGCAAGGATTACCGTACACCAGATTCCCCTGGTGTAGTGCCAGCACTTCCCCGTGCAAGGGCTTACCATACACCAGATACCCGACCCCCAAGGCAATACTTAATATTTCTTACCTTGGTCTGTGCACAGAGTTACCGGATCGATTCTTAAAAACCCGGAGTGCCTACCTTCTTCCTTTCCCCACTACTTCACGGATCCTGCCTCTTTAACCAGTCTCGGGCCCTCTGTCAGCTTTCCGCAGAACCGCCACCGTCGATGCACAGGACCGCTGAAATCAGCGGGGCATGCCTTCCTGCTGCTGCGGCGGTGGGGCTCCCCAGTAGGTGACTGGATCCCGGACGAGCCCCCAAATTGTGAGAAACACTCCATAGCCAATAACTTAGGCTCAGGCGAGGATCTCAGTGAAGTAGTAATTTATTCACGATTGCAATGGCGGGCGCCCCACAAGCAGGAGAGAGCGCATCTACTAGTTCCAAAACACAGTTTATATACCTTTTGATGGCAGGACCCTCCCCTGTTTCCCCACTGAGTGGGTAATCCAGGTTCACAATCTATCTGATGCTTCACAAACAATGCATAGTCTTCAGTTGCCGGCCTGTTAAATTTCAAATTTCTTTTGACATTTTTACTGCTTGAAGTGGTAATGTTTCTTCACTTGTCTGACTTGACTTGACACCGTGATTTTCACCTAATTGTCCTAAGGAGACTGGTTGTCTGCATTTTACTAGGTCGCCTGCTAAACTTTCTTATCACTGTAAGCATATCTCAGTACCACATTCCCTCCTTCTAAACAATGTAACTCTGCAAAAACAACATTTCTATTCCCACATATATTCCTGCAACTTAGTCTCTAGTCTGGGGCTAGCTACCTGATACTATAGCCATTATTTTTAATTTGAAAAGGTACATTTTGTGTTTATAAATTCTTGTGTTTCATTGAGACATGAATAATGCTGGATGAGTCAACAAGGCTAGACAGAGGACGGCAGCTTAGGAAAACCTACACTTGGGAACTGTAGGACAGAGAAGAGAAAGAACAGCTTCTGCCTAGGGAACCAGAGGCAAGAAGCCCCCCATGACTCTCCCTCCTGTCCATGTGTTGTGCTAGGACCTAGGCTCACTGTGTATGTTACTGCAGATACCAGTGAAATTTTCTTGAGGATTGGGTGGATGAAGGAGAAACTTTAAGTGTAAACAATGCTACCAACATAAAACAGCTGTTGCATTTCTTTTTGTGTTTGTGGAATCCAGGTATCAAAAATATCTCATTTTACTAGTTCAAAAGCTGAAATTTCAGCTAGGCATGTGGAAGATTTTTTGGAATATTGTGAGTGATGCTTCTTAAATGGTCTGTTACAAAGGGACTTGAGAGCACAGTGTGTTTAGTAGGTCTAAGCCTTTCTGGAAAACTCTGTTGCCTTCAGCCCATCAGAGGAAGAAAAATGTACATGTAAGTTCTGCCTTTGTGAGCTGTTGATCCTACCTTTTTACAAAGCAAGCTGAAATATGTTTGACCCTACCTCATCTGGGTAGGTGGAGCTGCCATCACATGCATGTGTGACACTGCATCATGTATGGAAAGAAAAATGTTGTATTCTTTCTTTCTCCTTTGTTGCACATTTGGTCTTTTCAGCTTATCCTGAGAAGTGTAAAGGTGATGTTTATTTCTAGCAGTCTTCGATCTGCATCCCACATTTCCCTCTTAAGTATCTGGTATTAGCAGCTGGTGGAAATGTGATGCAGACTAAATGGACAACATGTTTTTCGGCAAATAATACCTGTGACACCAATTCAATGGCCTTAGCCTCCCCTCCCCTCCCCTCCCCTCCCCTCCCCTCCTCTCCCCTTTCCTCTCTCTTCTTTTTCTGGTTCTTCAGGTCCAAACATCATTCTTTGCACTGAATATGCTTTCTTTCTTTCCACCTGTATAAACTATAGAGTATCGGTATCTAGGGATTTCCCTGCAGATGGAAAAGGAAGACAAAAAGTCTGAAGCTACTGAAGGAAGTTGGAAACTCGGATCTATAAAGCTATTCCAGAAGGTCTTGAAACATTAAAGGAAGTTTTATTACAGAGATTAGTTTATGTTACACTCATTTATTAAAACCTAAGGACATCTTTATAAAAACTACTGTATATAAAGACAAGAGCAGTGCAATAGCAGTGTAAAACACATTTTTGGTTTACTTGGCAATCACTTTAGAAAGACAACATGATTCATAATATGAAGTTAGAGTATGCTGCAAAAAATAGGACAGGATTAGATCAAAAACTAGATTAGCAAATCACTGGACACTGGCACGTATTAATTTAAAACATTGAGTATTATGTAAACAGTATTATTGTCAATGCATCAATAAAGAGTGAGTAATCACTGTAACCCTAGAATTTCTAGTTAGCTTAATTAGCCTAAAATTTGATTGCAGACTATTAAAATAGACTATCGTACTGCATATCCTAGCTTCTTAGTTATTTACTATTTATGTAAAAAAGGACTAGAAGAAATCCCTCTTTTACAAGAGGATTTTCAAGGGTGAGAAAAGATGTTTCTTCCCGGCAAGTTGTTAGAGTTGTTTTTTTTTGTTGCCCTAATTTTCATACACCATCACTGGTAGTTAAATAGAACTGAGTTTAAAAATCGCTTTGATGTATTACTTCAACGCTTCTGCAAGTGGACAGTCCTCATATAGAAATTACAGCCATAATAAAACTATTAAAAACAGTTATCTAAAATAGCTGCTACAATACGCTGATGTATACATTTAGAGGCCAGGTTGTTTTCTCTTTGTGTTCTTGTAAGATCGATAACCAGGCACAACAGATGGTTAATTACAACACCAAGTCCTGCACAAGCTTTATAACTTATGAACTTATAACTTTTAGAACTTATGTTCTATGTTATACACAGCAATTATTAAGAAGTTGGACACTCAGTTCTTAGTAAAATATGGACGAGAAAATTAGTTGGAAAGGGAAGGAGGCTTCTGGAGCACAAATGTCATTAATAGCCACTGAAATAGTTGCTATTGGTGAATGGGATGAACAATGAAATTATGTGCTTTCATTAATATTAATTTTATATCCCTTATTTTTCCAACTATATCAGGACGGACATAGAGAAATATATCTGTTTTAGTCCAAGTCTTTTATTTTAGAGAGAGATTGCATTTGAACCAGGCTCTATCTGCAGAAATAGTATAGTGATTAATTGCAGTTATCTGGTTCACAATAATTACTTTTGATCAGGTGAATGCACAAGGATATCAGAGCACTGCTATATGGGTGGTTGGGATGTTCAGCCAGCACTCTTCTGCAATGTCTCATCAATAAGAGAGAAGGGTGGATAGCAATGGTGGTAGGGAAGTACATGTGGTGCAGTGTTTCCGTTTAGTTTGAGGCCTGGCAAGCATTAGCCTTATTCAAGATCTTATATTCTGCCAAATTAAGTGGGATATCAGATGATTATAACAACACAATTGATGAACGTCATCAGCTACGATGTGGATTTATCCATAAGTTAATTGGTAGGCAAAATCAGAATTTCAGCCAGAGAGTATCCACCTTATATTAGCTGGCTCTGTTTAGAAAATCAAAGGAAAACAAACAAACAAACAAAAAGCACATCGATTACAAAGTATACATGTACTAGAAGTAAAGCATAAAACTGCTCATTAATAACGCACAGTTCCCAAAGGGAAAAAAAAACCCTTACAAAATACAGTAAGTAACACAAACCAGTATGTAATACAAATCCCTTCATGAACATAAGCTTTTTACAAAGCTCTCTGTGGTGGTTATCACCTCACAATGAAAGTAGGTGCTGAAGGTAAAAGGAGTAAAGCTCCAACTGATTACTGGAGATATGTATTTTGGTGGCTGTCAACAAGGGGTACGGATCGTGGAGTCAAAGTGGGAGTGGGGAGAAGACATGATGCCTGTAGAGGCATTGATGGCACTGTTCTCAGCTACTTGGTTTCCTTTGCTTTTCTTACAAGTTGGCACCACTTTACATCCTCATTGGGATAGGTCTCCCAGCACCAGGAGCTCCAACCTTTTTACTGCTGAAGTGCTAATCTCCGAAGAGAGAGCAGCCAGGACTGTCTGCCACTATCTGCAAGCTCCTTACAGTGCTTGTTTGCTGGAGGTCCTTTTTGTGACCACTCAAAGTGCTTTAAATGCTTCTGCAATGCTCTAATTAAATGTTCATGTTAGAAAACTAAAGTCTCTTATGTTTAGAGTGAAACAAAGTTTAAAAAATACTGTCTGCTTTTTATTTGAAATGCTGCATTTCTTTCAATGTCAAACAAGCCATTTGTACTACGACAGCACTGCAAGCAGGGTTGCTTTCAGAGGAGCATGCACAGGAGCTTCTGTGAAGAGCAAGAGTGGGCCAGGCGTATGCTTACCTAGAACAGGTTGGAGCCTAATGCCTGGAGGGTGACACACTTATCTGTAGCATTTGAATTCTTGCTGATTAGCTGTTACCTGCCCTTACACAGTGATACTCTGCTTTTACTTATTTATTGGGTTTTCTTTGGAGGCTGGATACTCCTATGCCCTCCAGTCTTGGCTCCCCCAACATTTTTTATTCCTGGATAGGTTTGGTCATGTACCATTATACACTCCAATAACTTTAAATTAGCTCATATCACACTCAGTAGTCTATTCCTGTTGAGTTCAATGGAAAGCTAACATGCACTCAAATCAAAGAGGTACAAAAACCCACCCCAACTTGATTGTTCACTAACAAGGTGTTTTTTAATACTCATTGGCAAGGTGTTCCTCACACTGGTTGTACAATAAAATATAACATTATTATAAAATTACTGATTTGTGCCATGCCTCAAAATATGAGGCATGAAGAATTAATTTGGCATTAGCATGGCACTATGCTACAACTTCTAGATGAACTACTCTGTTTAGTTGTCATTGCCAGGTTCTCCATTTCCCTTTCTCTCTCTTAATAAATGATTAAATTTCACAGGGTCTGCTCATATAATTGATACTGTATGATTTTAAAATGAACCTGTCCTGTGGAAAGTTAAGTCAAGCTATCACAACTTAGTGACTAAGTACTCCACATACTTCCATGGTAGCATCATTGCCCTTTTGGCTTACAAATCTTAGATTTGTAAGCCAAATTAGATTAGATTTACAAATCTTTAGATTTGTGAGGGATAAATTCTGACGCCAGTCAGTGGATGAGGGAATTGGATTATTGCCTTGTAAAGCAGAGGGACAATGGTATTATTGCTTTTGTAATACACAGTTTGTTGTTTTTCTTCTATTTTTCTTTCAGCTTCAAGGGGTATGGGGGAGGAATGGGGTATCTCTTTTGCTTCTTAATGAAAGCTCCCCTCTTCAGGAAAGCATGTCAAACTGAAGCTGAGCTGTGCTCAGATGTTTTATGTCTTATCAGAATCATTGCCAGTGTGTACTAAAATGTGTACTAAGGCTGAACCATTGCTACCCTGCAGTTTGATTGGGTGTGAAGGTTTTACTCATCTTGTAGTTCATGACAACACGGGTAGCAGTGACAGGGGTTGCCAGCATCTACCCCATCGTGACAAAATATTCACCAGAGAACTTTGCAAAAACTCACATTCAGTATTCTGACACTTAGATTAGGCTCAAATGGCAATAGATGGATGGGGAGGCAAAGAAAAGTTATCTACCAAAGGTTTGTCTTATGATCTTTTTCCACCTTTGTGTGGATTTGCCAGAGCAACTTAATTTTCTTCCTACTGAGCATTTTCTAAAACATGATGATTCCTTTGAAAGATAACATTATCAGTCAAAAATTAAAATATTGCTTACTGACTACTTTCTTCTGGAAACTCTTTCTTATCATTTGTCTATAGAAGTTGTCTGAAAGGTGTTTCTTTTCAGGTGACTTGATCAATCTCCATGCTGTAGTTTCTCTCTCTCTGTTGCTTATCAACCATTTTAAAGTCTTTGTCATTTAACTGGTTTTCTTGAAAGCTGCTCCGTGGAGTCTGATCTTACCTCTCCCATCTTGAGGCACATCAATGTATTTTTCTGGAAGACATAAAACACACATGTTCCTGTAATGTTTCATAAGCATTCAACATCAAAGCATTTTCTCTAAAGATAAATGTGTTGTTTTCTCATATGTGGATTTGATCTGTGGAGAAAACAGGTGAGAAAGAAAGAAGAGGTGTTGGGAGGCCTTTACCTTCCTTCATTAGCTTTATTTAGCATAGTGTGAGCTTATGTGCTATGGAGGTTGCATCTCCCTTCTTTGTTTTTTGTTTTGTTTTGTTTTTACAGTCAGAGTGGGAGGTTAACCCTGTTTCTCCTTATTCATTATAAATTGGTCCTGGTCCTGGACATCAACCACATATTAGGTGTGCAAGTTGCATGTGCTCATCTGAGCAGGGCTCAGGTGTAGGCTACTGAGCACCCTTGGCCCACAGAGATGTGGATAACAATCAAGCCTACAGATATGTCTGGAATCTGAGACAGAGATAAAAATCAGATTTTATTCCAAATACCTTTTTCTGTGCGTATACCAGCATACTGTTCCATGTTGCCGAGCTGTCTACTACCTGTGAGATAAAATGATCAAATATTTGCCTGAAAAGGTAAAAGAGGAAATGCAAACAACTGCTAAACTCTTCATTTCTACTGCATGAAGTCTATTTTGAAAGTGCAGAGTGCAGAGGGCTTCCTTCTGCAACCATAAATTTACTTTGAAGCAAATTTTATTTGCTTATACAGTCTCACCGGGCTGGTTTTCCTGAGTGAAGTGTATTCTCATGGCCATATGGTAAAGCCTTTATCAAATGTCATGGAGTCTTCCTGTTGTACTGGTTACTAAGGTGTGCATCGGACCAAACATGGACTGCTTACTCTAACCCTGATTCCTTTCACATGATGAGAAAATGCATTTCTGTTTGCACGTATGTCAATGAGTAATTATATTCATGTGCTTTCCTCACAGAAGTGTTTTATTTATTTATTTATTTATTGCAACTCGTCTGGAACATAACAAATGTGTTAAATCTGCCCATCTTCACCTTGTGCAGAGAGGGCGTGTGTACCTGGCTATGTTGATCCTTTTGTTTTTGAGGTAGACCATGATTATTAATCATAATAATAAATTAAAGTGATTCATCTGTTTCCTGGAGTAGGAAAGCATAGTGGTATAAACACAAGCTGCTGGAGGCACAATTTGGTATCCTAGTAGCAGCGACATTTAATTAACTTTAATTAACTTTTCCAAGCAGCGTTCTTTATATGTTGGGTATTCCCAAGTCTGTGCACTACATTATACATATTGCATTTCACTAATGTATAAAATATAAAGAAACACCTGGTTCAAACACCAGGATATCTGTGGGAATCAGCGTGTCTGAGGTTATCTAGCGTTTCCCATCAAACCTGTTGAGTACATGAGCCTCGACCTCTAACCTTTGCCTCAGTGTCACACCACTGAAATGGCAGGGGTGGGCTTGCTGGGATGTGCAAGTCCACCGGGCAACTGCCTCTGATGCAGCTGAAGTATGCTGCCTTTGTCCAGGTTCATGTCTTCCTTGCAGTGCTGCTTGTCAGGAAGAACTGCTGCAGAAATACGCAGTCCTCCCTCTAGATCATGCTGAGGATCTAAACCTTTATCCAATACTCAAAGCGAACTTATGTCAAGGTTTTATTAATAATTGCTTTCTAATAATTAAATATCCTAGTCAGCCTTGTTTGCCTCAGAAATACGGCAAAATTACTTTGGATTTTGTTCTTTCACTGTCCTTTTTTGACCTTGGTAGAAATGGGCACTGAAGAAACATGCAGATGTGCCTCTTGTAAGGTCTGCAGACAGAATGAGTTTAACAGAAGTTTGTTTGTATCTAGAAGAGAACCTCCTGATACCTTGCTATAAGTAATTAAATATCAATAACAAAACCAAACCAAACCAAAACAAACAAAACAAACAATAACAAAAAAACCTTGAGAGAGGGGAAACAGAAGAGCAATAGCACGTCATGGCTTGGAGACACACATGTTCTTTGCAGCACCTTCAGTTGTTTCTTTTCACTCTAGCTCTAGCTCAGATGAAGTGTTTTACAAATCTGTAGTCTACTTAACTTAAATTCCTTTCTCTTTCCTCCCCTCCCCTCCCCTCCCCTCCCCTTCCCTCCCCTCCCCTCCCCTCCCTACCACTTCCTCTTTGTTTCCCTTTCCCTTTCCTTCCCTTTCCCTTTCCCTTTCCCTTTCCCTTTCCCTTTCCCTTTCCCTTTCCCTTTCCCTTCCCTTTCCCTTTCCCTTTCCCTTTCCCTTTCCCTTTCCCTTTCCCTTTCCCTTTCCCTTTCCCTTTCCCTTTCCCTTCTTTCCTTTCCCTTTCCCTTTCCCTTCCCTTCTTTCTTTCCTTCTTTCCCTTTCCCTTTCCCTTTCCCTTTCCTTTCCCTTTCCCTTTCCCTTTTTTCCTTTCCCTTTCCCTTTCCCTTTCCCTTTCCCTTTCCCTTTCCCTTTCCCTTTCCTTTCCCTTTCCCTTTCCCTTTCCCTTTCCTTTCCCTTCTTTCCCTTTCCCTTCTTTCCCTTTCCCTTCTTTCCCTTTCCCTTTCCCTTTCCCTTTCTCTTTCCCTTTCCCTTTCCCTTTCCCTTTCCCTTTTCCCTTTCCCTTTCCTTTCCCTTTCCCTTTCCTTTCCCTTTCCCTTTCCCTTTCCCTTTCCCTTTCCTTTCCCTTTCCCTTTCCCTTTCCCTTTCCCTTTCCCTTCCTTCCCTTTCCCTTTCCCTTTCCCTTTCTTTCCCTTTCCCTTCTTTCCCTTTCCCTTCCCTTCCCTTCCCCTTCCCCTTCCCCTTCCCCTTCCCCTTCCCCTTCCCTTCCCCTTCCCCTTCCCCTTTCCTTTTTCTTTTTCCTTTTTCCTTTCTCAAAGTATTCACCCTCTATTCTCTCAGCTCTTGTCTAAGGCTGGTGCCAAATCAGTTTCTTCGGGCTGAAACCAAACCTTGGCAGCACAGGTGCCAGGTAAAAGCTGCCAAGCAGTGCTCACTAAATGGATGACAAGCTGTTGAATAAAAAAATGGCCCAACAGAGCCCGCTTTCTTCAGGTGTTCTCCTTCCTCTCAGCGTGATCCACTTCTTATAGTGAGGAGTAAGCATGGGTGGTGAACAACAGATTGACTGATGATGGATCAGTAAAACTGGGAGATTCTGCTTTAGATTGATTGCTCTGCAACAGTGGATCATTGAAAATACTTGCATTTCCTAAGAAAAAGAAATGCTGATTTCCACATGTGGTCAGCCAGAGTACTGAAACTTTTGTCACTTTTGGTCACTTCTGGACTTTTATATATCAAGAGAGTGCTCTTTTACGTATCAAGATGGAGATGGCTCAGCTTGCTCCTACTCACTGGCAAGGGTTACCACCAATGTGGCACCTCAGACTGCATCGATTTTCATTGTCTGGCGAGGAAGTAGCTAACTAAAAGATTGCCTCTTTTATCACATCAATGACTGCTAGGTGCCTTAGTTCCACTGAAAAAAAAAATGACATCCATTAATAAAAAAAGAATGATTCAAAGCCTCTGCAGACATTTATTTATTATTTTTTTCAGGAACTTTAATCATTTTCTGACAAATGAAGTAAACTGTTGCCACACTCACAGTTCCAGGGAATCTTGCTAAGTTAATGTTCACATAAAAGCGCTATCAATCACCAAAGCCCCTTCAGACATGAGATAACAAAGTAAGTGGTCTCTGAAAATGTCCAGATACTCTCTCTGGTATAAAATTGTATTACGCTGATCTAACAGACCAACCCTAATCTATGACTGCTGAGAGTCTGCAATGCCTTCAACTCTGTTCATACTGGGAGTGGAAGAAAGGCTTTTGCTCTCTCTTGTCACAGGAAGAGCTCAGCTACCAGCCTAATAGGCAGCTTTCTGCAGCAAGTAGCCCTTGGCAGACACGCTGATTACTATAGGCAATAGGAAAAGTCCTCCTTTCTCATACATGGAAGGACAAGGGAGGACAATGCACAATGCACTAGATTTTAAAAAAAAAAAAAAAAAAAAAAAAAGCCTCACAAGTTCATGAGTTTAAAAGGAAAGGATGCGAGAAATGAATTGCAGGACAAGTACCAAATGAAAAGCCATTCAGTTGTCTAAATATATTGCAACCAGAAAGAAATAGAACATAATCTAACACCTCTGCCTCTGTGGAGGCAGACAAAGAGCAGGGAAATAATTTGCATAGCTTGGCATCTGTACAGTGCAATAGTAGTATTATATATAGCATATAAGATTGTATCTAAAATGTATGCTGAAAGACTGCTCAGGTTACTAAATCGTAAAAACTATGAAATACAGGAATGAATGCTGCCTGTGTGATCTTAATTTGTCCATCTAGTTTGTGTGAAAGAAAGCAGAAAGTTTTAGTCTTTAGACAGTTTTTTTCTTTTTTCTTTTCTTTTCTTTTCTTTTCTTTTCTTTTCTTTTCTTTTCTTTTCTTTTCTTTTCTTTTCTTTTCTTTTCTTTTCTTTTCTTTTCTTTTCTTTTCTTTTCTTTTCTTTTCTTTTCTTTTCTTTTCTTTTCTTCTTTTCTTTTCTTCTCTTTTCTTTTCTTCTCTTCTCTTTTCTTTTCTTTTCTTTTCTTTTCTTTTCTTTTCTTTTCTTTTCTTTTCTTTTCTTTTCTTTTCTTTTCTTTTCTTTTCTTTTCTTTTCTTTTCTTTTCTTTTCTTTTCTTTTCTTTTCTTTTCTTTTCTTTTCTTTTCTTTTCTTTTCCTCTTCTCTTCGCTTCTCTTCGCTTCGCTTCTCGAGAAAACTTTTCTTTCATTGAGAGAACATCAGAATAGCTGAATGACTCAGGTTTTTCCAATGCAAGGGAAACACTTCAGACACAACTAAAATTTGCTTCAGTTTGGCTCAGTAACTTGAAGAGGTTGCAAATCTTGTTCTTTTGAATTGATTATGAACATTTCAACACTAAGCAGTGGTGTGGGATGTTGCTATCTTGCCAAAAAGAAGCAGCAGCATGGCCCCTAGGCTGAGTGATCGTTCTCCTCTGGTGCCACGCAATTTCCCCTCTGTTCTAGTGAAATGGGTCATGACACATGCAGGAGGTCAGATGAAAGGACTGCCTTAACTTGTGGCAAATCAGTTTTGTTGCAATCGTCGTGTAAAATTACCATCATCACTGGTAGCCATTGCTAATGTTTCTAATATATTCATTGGCTTGGGGAAGATAGATGTCTGGTGCTTAAGAGTTTAAACAAAAAACAGGCTCTGGAAATTTTCAACCTGATAAACAGACTCTGAATTTTCAACTCATTTAATTTCCACTTTAGCTGACAATTCTGCAAAGGTGGAGAGAAATGTCTAAATGTGTTTGAAAGCAAATACCTCAAGAAGGTGTTAGGGATTAAACTGAATGAATGTGTAGTGCATGTCAGATTGATCAGATTTAAGTTTATTCCTTAGCTGCAGACCTAAGAAAAGGAGGCAGAAATATCAGGGTATATGAAGAACAAACCCAGGAGTTTCTGTTCTGATAGGTGTGTTCTTGGCACGTGGGGGGACACATAAATGGGGCCAACTGAGAGACCCCTTTGCTA